GCTCCCAAGCGCCGCATGTCTTCGCCGTTGATGCACAAATAGCTCACTGTCCTCCTCACAGTAGCTGCTTTAAAGGACTTCGCTTTCGTAGGCCTCTCGTGGCGACACAGGCACATCCAGCTCATCATCGAAGTCACAACCAATCAGGGCGTTGTCATCTTCGGCTTCATCGCACAGATTCACATCATCTACAGCGACTGACCCGAACAGCTTCTCCCCACGTAGCGCATCCATGAAGTTCTCTCCATCAAACTCATCAATCCCGTTGAAATCGTCTCTTTCACTCTTCGACTCGTCGGCACGTTCATGACCCGAGCGTACATCGTATTCCGGATCCTCCATACTAGTAGTGGTGCTCCCACCTTCTTGCTCTGTATCTGGCTGAATTGCTTGACTTGCTTGAGTCGGCGGTGTAGAAGCTGAAGTACGCGGAGGGAAACTCGAAGGAGGAGTTGGAGGAGTAGGCGTCACCTCCAAAGTTGGTGCCGCTTGTTCTTCCGCTGGCAGCACTTCTTCAACCGGCGCACGACGGCGAGCCAACGCCGCATTCTTTCCCATGGGGATCCTTGCTGGGAGTGATGGCAAAGGTGAGAGCTCCAGCAACTCCTGACGACGTCCAAATGTCATGAGTTCTTGTTCGCCTGCACATATCTGTCAGTACTGTGAGTATATATACCGAGCTGTCTGCAGAACGTACCAACGAAGTATTTAACTCCGCGCTTCTCTGCATCCAAGCGGCCAGTCACACTGGGCATCACGTACGTGAAGTCCGCACTCAGTCCTTTAGGCTTCCTCGCTTTCCATCCTGCCTTGGATAGCTCGCGCCATAACTGCTTGAACGGTTTCTCGTTGGGAGATCCAAGGGTGGATCCGACAAAGACTGAAGATGAACAAGTCTGCTACCGTGAAGGCGGGGATCTACACGCCGAGGATCTTGGAGAAGGCATGGCGGTGATCCCGGAGGTACCACTGACCACAGAGGAGGTCACGATTGATGATATCCAAGTGGATCCAGGGGCGAACAAACCCACTGAAGTGGATCGTCTACGTCAGGAGATCTGGGAAAGCCGACATCTGCTGATTGGTAAAGGTAATGCGTTACCGCCCGCCGCCCGCGGAGTCAAATGTGACATCGATGTCGGCGACGCGAAACCGATCGCTCAAAGGGTGCGGAAGGTGGCACCTCAGTTCCGAGAAAAACTATCAGATCTGATTAAGGGCCTGCTGCAAGCCAAGATCGTCAGCTTCTCAACATCCCCGTGGGCATCTCCGGTGGTAATCATCATTAAGAAGAACGGGGTGGATATACGTCTGTGCATTGATTACCGGCTAGTTAACGGCCTGACTCGATTGATGGTGTATCCGATGCCTCTAATCAATGAGCTGTTGGAAGATTTGGATAAAGTACAGTAAGCTTCTCGAAATATGAACTTCGGGTCGTAGCTCACTGCGCGCCTTAACCAGTTGAGTCAATGATCACCGTGGTCTGTCAGTTGAGGTGGTCGTCCACGTCACGTAGCTGCCAGTCCTGTCCCTGATCAGAAGACGGTGTCCGGTGGCCACAGAAACCGCTGCCCTATAATACACCTACAGCTATCCTAGCACACGCACAGCAAATGGTAACTGAGTTCCTAGGCCGCGTGCACGTAAGGGAATCCGTCGAGATCTATTGCCAGATCGCTCGCGCGTGATCCCGGGGGCTCTTAGTACCGGGGGCTAACTCCACTACCCTCTCTTTGGGGACACGTCACGACGTTGCGGGCTGCTGATACCGACGATCCTACGGGGCTACAATACCCGTCTCTCTAACACACTCTTGGGAAACCCTCACACTCAAGGACTAACACTGCGATGACACTGGCTAACTGGCTAACTGGTTGTTGTACTTGTCTTCTGCGCGAAACGTATCAGACCGATACGCTCGTGGCTCTCTCTGGAAGCACTTGCCTGCTTCTCTGCTAATCTCGAACTGAGGCTATCCCTCTACTACCACATGCACTTGGTCTCCCGCTCCCTCATTCAAGCAACAGCGACTCCTCACGAAGATCGCCATTCGCCGCACACTTGCCTTGAGTATACCGGGTCGTCTGGATCTTCAACCGGTTGCTCCTTTAAGGTGGCAGCTGCTCGAAGGTGGATGTTGACTTATCTACTTCACTGTCTTGTCCTCCTGTCCGTTGATCTCCGTCGCTCCTCGCCTGCCGTCCATGTCTGGATAAGATGAGCCCCCAAGAGGATTTCATCCGCTTACTCTCTTCCCCTGCCTACGAATCGTCCGCGATTCGTCCATCGTCACTGCTAACCCGCTCGTCCATCGCCGCTGTCCTTGCCACCGTATCCGCTATCTCTTGGTCCACTAATCCGCTCGTCCATCGCCGCCATCTTCTTGTGCTGCTAGGCCTTCTTCGCCATGCAGTTAGTGCGCGGGCTCACGTGGGATCGCATTCCCTGCACCATCGCTGTCATCCTCGCTGTCGTCACCTTCCTGATCTTGGTCGCTGTCGTCCGAATCTTCGTCTGCACCAGCGTGCACGCGTCCTTGTCGCCACAGCTCCTCGTAATCTGCTTGGTTGATCCAGAGCTTCTGGGGGCCGTCTGGGTCAAGTCGATCACCCAGCCGTTCAACTTCGAACTCCAGTATGTATCGGCCTGTGCGGGTCCGATATCGTCGTCGGCGGCGTTCAACCACAACGTCGTCCGGCCGCCATCTGCTGAGGCGAGGTCGTGTGGACACCAAGCTGTCGACACCCCGTCGCCCTCGTCCAGCAAACACGTAAATGGTCGGCTCTTCGTCTTCTTCGTCAGGTGGTCCGACTGCTCGTCCTCGTGCTGGTGCGTCTGCTGCTGCTGTGTGTCTGGTTCCTCCATCATCTCCGCTGGTCGTCGTGTCTGGTCCTGGTCGTAAGCCTCCATGGGCAGGTACATCGGCTTGTCCTCGTACTCTTCCGCTTGTCGCTGGTTGTTCGGCACTGACACCACTCGCATCTTCTGGTGTGTGCGTCGTTCTACTGGCTGCTGCTGCGTTAGTCTCGTCACCAACACTTGGCACTGCGTCTGTGTACGGACCTCTTCGCTGTCGTGCTCGCGTTCGGCTAGCAATGGTGTCTGCGTTAGGGTCGACTGCTGCTCGGGCCGTGAAGCGCACGCGCTTGCGTGGTGGCGCACGGCCTCTCGACTGCTCCCCGTGTCCGTCGTCGTCTTCGTCATCCTGATCCTGCTGTGCTGTCGGGGTGGCACGTCGCTTGCCTGGGGCCGTCTTCCGCGTCGGCAACACGTCTGTGGCGCTGGTGACTTGCTGCCCTGCGCTGTCGGCAGCAACCTGACTTGTGTCGCTGGTCGCTATCGCCCCGCTGCGTCCGTCTCCATCCGTCGTGCTCGCTCCACCACTCGTTCCTGCCGCTGCCGCCGCTCTATCTTCAGCAGCCTCCGTCGCTGCTATTTCCGGTTCGTCTCCGTCGTCGTCCTCAGAATCAGCGTCAGCCGCCGCGACTGCCTCCTCCTGCAAGTCAGCTGCGATGTCGCGCGTCATCTCTTCCAGCAGATTCGTCGGATAATAATAGGAGATCAGGAACGAGCAATGCGTCACTAGCTCCTTTCCCGATTCCAGCATCTTCACTCGGAAATTGTCATACCCGGCCGCCTCTATGATCTGCGCAGGTCCACGCCAGCGATGCCCGAGCTTGGTGATGCCTGGTCCTCGCGCGGGCCTGTACACCCATACCAATTGATTCGGTCTAAAGTCTCGTCCTGTACGTACCTTCCTCTGGTTGTAATACATCGCCTGCCTTGCTTGCTCCTTCGCTAGCGCCAACGCCGCCAACTCACGCGCCGTCTCCAAATCTTCGAGCAGCACTCGATGGTACTCCTGCAATGTGCTATGCGGGTACACCAACCGACTCTTCCTCAGCAACTCTGCAGGCGTCCGTAATTTCCGGCCCATCATTAGTTCGTTAGGCTGGTAGCCATGCGTCGCGTGCTTCGCCGAGTTATACGCGTATAGTGCACTAGGCAGAAAATCGTCCCAATCATCCTGCCCTTCGCCCACATACAGACTCACGATGTCCTTCCAGGTTCTGTGAAAACGTTCAACAAGTCCAAGCAGGTTCGGTCGGTACGGCACCGGTGTCGACTGCTTCGCCTGCAATAGCTGCAGCAGCTCCGCCGTCGCTTGACTGCTGAACTCCATCGCGCCGTCCATCATGATCTCTCTCATGGGGCCGAAGACCAACAGACAGGATCAGATCACCCAGCGCTTGGAGCGAAAGCCAAGCCTGCGCCGTTGGCTACTAGCTCCAAGAAGTCGAAGATTGGGAAGCGGTTCAAGTGGTCAGGCGAAATGATGCAGGGCTGCTGAGGCTGCGTTTTGTGGACGGCGACGTCAAGCACCGACTTGAGAGTGCCCAGACGAAGACTCAGACGGCGCTAGCATAGCAAAAGTTTGCCAGTGTGCTGTCGCAGTCGCTCGGCGTTGTGATTACTCGTGAACAGGTTCGAATATTGGATGCCGCTTAATTGTGACGTGTTACAACGTTTGCTGGGGTGTGTGTACAGGTTTCACAAAAGTATAGGAAGCTTAAATGTATATATTGCAAGGAGAAAACAAGCCTTTGATGCAGAGTGAGCCACATACAAAAAGAGAGAAATGATTATTAATCAGTTATATTAGGGCTGACTTTATACTGTAGTATCTGAGAAGAAAAAAAACTGTTAAGTTCGCTTTGGTAAAGTTCGGATTTACTTAATCTTTTCTCTCCATCGGTAGGATAGGTAGGGATGGTGGGCGTACAGGTAGCATCAACTTTAAAACTAAAGCTTGGTCACACAAGGAACTGACATTAAAAATAAAACGGACCCTAAATAGGGCATTTCTTTCCGCTCTCAATTTGCCAAAGAGAAGATGACAAAAATACAGGTTGGAAATCGCGTATTTTGCCGACTTCCCACGTAAGGCAGGCAAACGAATGCAGCGTCAGTGCAATCTATGCCACAAGAAGTGCTCTTACTACTGCGATGGATCCTCCGATCTACAATTGCAGTCGTTTTTCGGTGTGTGCGGCCCGAGATCGCAGCGCACGAGCACATTGCTCTACCTTCAATTTGACCTATTTTCACATACATATGGTTCTTAATACAAACTTTTTATATATAAACTAATTTATGCACGCCTGCTACATGAACATGTACATGTAGTAGGAATCCAGTGGCATGGGTACAATCCTACTGTAGGATTGTACCCATGCTACTGGTAGGCTATCAACCTGGGGAAAAAATAGTAAGTAATTCTTCTTCTTACGAGCACGAATTTATTTGCGATTCTTCTCATTACATTATCGCTGCATAGCCAGTCGCGTTTCGCTTGTTTTTAGATAGTACCGCTTTTTTTTGAGCGGCTTTGATTCGCTCTTTGTTAAGTTTGTATTGTTCAGGTGAGTGCGTCATCTTTGTACAGTTATTACTAAATTTATATTTATCAGGAATACAATATTATAATAGAAGGCAAAGCTCCGCATTCATTACTTTTTATGCCTACTTCGAAGCGTATTACTATTATAAGCTACATATCGCTTGCACCTGTGAAGTGTGGAGGAAGAGCCAGGACTGCGTCCAGCTCAAACCTGAGGCTCAGGTGCCTCCAGGACGCGATGCTCGCGTCCAGAAGCCGGACTTCGACGGACCATTGGCTGGCGAGCCGCCAGCCCCATCCTACTGCTAATCCTACCAATATATGTTACCGGGGTTTTTCCGTGTGCTGCTACACACTCGACAACTTGCGCCGTCAAGAGCAAGCAGCAGCACTCGGTTTTCTCCCCTGCTGGACTTTCAGTCCCTGCAACTTACTGTTGTTACGACTACTTCCTTCATCACAATGGTCACCACTCGGCGTAGCCGAGGAGCGACCATCACTCAGGTTATGAGCCCAAGAAGGAGAGCTGGAAGCCCAGTCCGGAGTACGCAGAGCTCGCGCGCGTCCGACGAGTTGCAGTTACCTGCAAGAGCAGACGAGACAACGTCAGACGAGACACATGCGACGTCACAAGCGTCATCAACCCGAGTTGAGCAACAACTCGAGCTCTTATTGGCCCAATTCGGTACTGTTATGACTACACTGACCAATCAGCAGCAAGTGCAGAACATTCCAGTAGAAGCATCTACCCGACGCCCACAAAGGCAGCTCATTCAAGAATTCTCAGCGGCTCGAGCACAACCGCAGCGAGTGCCGACGCCGTACGGGCCCCGCCGAGGAAACCCAAGCACAGAGGAACTTACCGCCGACGCCAGCACGCGTCAGAGCGAGCCGCCAAGAAACCCAAGACCGTCCCGAGGCTGGCAGCGTATCAGTTCAAGATCGAAGCCGGAACAGACTCCGCCTCGGGACGAACCGATGGGTTGTGAGATCCGTATATGCTGGCGGTGCATGAACCCAGTCGGGAACCGTGCAGTTGAAGGGAGGGATTTACCGAATACCAAGTAACCAAGAGGTGCGCCGAGAAGGATTTGG